AACTATGATAGCAAGGGCTATGAACTTGTCCTTGCCCCTGAAGATATGTGTAGCATCGACACACGGAAAGCCTACTCATACCAAGCAACAAAGATTACAGTACACACATTCCAGTGTTCAAAGATTTTGATGTATGGAAACTATACACCAAAAAAATGATTTTAACAAATTCAATAACTACACCTTGTTCATAGTGAAGGCGTGTCAGGGCAACATTTGTTTTTAAACAAACATATAATTTGGTGTATGGGAAGCACCTGAAGAAATTGATTAAGAGAGGGGTGGCAATGAAGATGCTATTTTACTAAGCACCTTCATACATTCACAGAGTGAAGTATAAGAAAGCGGTTGAAAATTTATATAAAACAATGATTAGTGATGACAAGTTTGAGAATCAAACAATCTTGAAAACTATTGCTAATGTAGCCTTTGGTTTGCTTGAGAAGTTTTACAATAGAAAAACGGTCAGTAGGATTTTTGATAATCTAAAGGAGGCGTTACAGCACCAGAAAAAATATGATGGGAGGATTTGCGCAATGAACGAAGAAGAGTATGAGGAATGATTGGACTATCGAAGTTGATGAGAACAACAAACCTTTTTTTAGACATGTGAATGGCGGTGCGTGTTTTACAGATTTTGATTATAACGTCGAGGGTGGCAAAACCTACTACTGTGAAAATGATTCATTCAACCAAAAGATAGAGAAAAAAAACGAGACCGCCAAATATTATATAGTCAGTGTCAGTGACCAAAGGCAGTTGATGAACGGATTTAGGTTTATCAAAGAGCTACTGTTACAAAATCATAACTTTCATATGTATGATGCATATAAGAAGTTGAAGGAGGCAAACATCAATGTTTAAGACTGATGTCTTTCACATAGCAAAGAGGGATTTAAAGAAAACTAAAAAAATATTGAATTTTCATAATGACATAGGAGGCTGAAGAGTGGAAGATAAGAAAGTTGTTCCTGTTCCCGAAGTCTATGGATGGAAACACAATGAGATTCCAAAAATACCAATTTACAAAAGCGAAAGGATTGAGGTTCAAGATGAATGGGACACAGAAGCAATTAAAAAAAAACAGCGATAAGGAAGAAGAGAGTCATGATTTGGGCAAAATTTGCAGGAAGTAGTAAGAGTTTCATTGGAAACCATTTCGACGACCTAAGTTTACAATACACATTTTGTTGTTCCCCAAAATATGCTAAAGCAAAATGTTCGATTCCATGCGATGCAGTCACCCAAAATACATTCTTCAGTGTTCCTGTGTGTAAGGGGGAAAGCAGGCTACCAAAGTATGATTAGAACGGCTATGATGCAATCTTTTTTGATGAAATCTATATGTCAAGTCCTTATATTTTGAATAAGATAAGAGTCTTCTGCAATGAAAACCGTCATTTGATTGTAATAGGTGCAGGTGATGTCAAACAGTTTCCAAGCACAGTGACAGAGCCCTTCACCAACAGCCAAAATGGAGAGGAGTATGTTGACAATTGCATTGACATAATTTTCAAATACAATATCTTTTTGCAGATACGCAAAAGAGTAGGAGGTAAAGATACAGAAGAGGGAAAGGAATAGAACATGATAAATGAAATCTATGATGATTTTTGGGAAAAGATTTGGATGATTTTTTATGATAAGGAAATCCACTTAAAAGGATAATACCTTATAATAGTATGGAGAGTAGAACGTGCACAAAGTGTAAGAAAAATAAAAATGGTGACGAGTTCAATGGACTGAATAGAATGTGTATTGAATGCTTGGACAAAGAAAAGGAGAGTAACACAGTATATTATAATCAAAAGGAAGTATTCTGCGACATTTGCCAGCGGAATGTGAAACAATGCAGGTTGTCCAAACATCTTAAAACCGACAGGCATATCAACAAGGAAAAACTCAAAAAGGAAGAGAAAAAACAAACAAAATATGGAGGCATACTTAAAAGATGATGAAACCGGAATTGCAAAATTGAAACAAATCTGGAAAACCATTACACCCAAAAACTTTTAAAAACTTTAACCCCATAATTTGTCATATCATAATATATGAAAACTATGATACGAACATAGGAATGTTAGAGATGGATGATTTAGATTTATGATATTATGTTATGATATTATATTATGATAGCATATTGTGATGAAATTTACGATGAAATATTATGATGAAACATTATGATTTGAATTTATGTGATGATGGATGATGATGATGAAATGATGTGGGATGATGATGTATGAAATGATGTGGTTTTATTTGCCCTGTTTGTTTCGAGGATATCCTAGTACCAGTCGCCCCATATGAAGAAGTCTCTCCTGCAATCATTGTTTTGGATTTTCCAGGTCACTTCTCCGGCACGAAGTTTCCACACAACGCACAGCAGCTCAAATCATCCTCCTGGGCCAAGTTGGTACACGGATGCGCACCACAAGTTTGGTACTTTGGCCGAGTGTCTGGGGTGCTGAGGGATGCTAAATTAATTTGGTTGGCGCAACAGCCCAAATATGATGAATACATTGTACCAGTTATACCGGATACCAGCATGCCTTCTTCCGTCGGAAGAACATTGGCCATAGATGATAGGTCCTGATATAGATGGATATTGATTTTGGGGATAATGGGAAGTAGATGACTAAGTAGATTGATTATCATTCTGCAATTCCGGACGGAATTCCATCACCTCTGCAATTCCATAACAGCCCAAATGCGGAACCGCAGCCGTGAAAAGCACAAGCAAAGCCCTGTCTCGCCGTACCCGCCCCGGACAGAACCATGCCCGGCCCGTCCCAGCTGGAATGCCTTCGCCTGAAAGTGGTGCTCGGGAGCGACTTGGAGGTCCGGCAAGCCCTGCGGACCAAGGGCTTCAGGCCCGCGAGAATCAGCCAGCTGAGGCCCAGGACAAAAAAAAGCAATCAGTCTGCCTCGAAAATTACTTAAATAGCACGAATGATGCACCATCAACTATATATATATATCCTGATTCTATCATAGATTGCTTGAGCAGGTAGGTTGATCACCGATGACCCGATACATTTCCTCGAACAACGACTTGAGAACAGAATTTATCAGGTCTAAAAACACAACATCCAATTTTCATAAATAGACATGATAACGATCGGCCACTCAGGATTGAGACATCGCTTAGTTCAGAAAGATCAATGGATGCAATAGAACAGAAAACATCGGAAAAAAAAGGAAAAGGTTGCGCACCTACAGTAATTAGATATACTGTTTATGTAAATATCAACACACACACACATATATATATATATTTATTTATATATTTTTATGTGTGTGTATGTTTCTACGATCTAGCTATGCCTATCTGTATAATTCTAGGCCCCTTAAATTGGACCCGCCCTGATCTGATTCGCATCGAAGGAGATCGCGGGTGGCACTGCCCGCGAGCTCCTCAGGGTGCGGCAGCTGAAGCGGACTCTCCGCAAAGCCGCGCGCCGGTGCCGGCTGAACGTCCGCCGGCACAACCACCCAAGGGCGTTTCCACGGAGGATGGCACGGCTGGTTGCCGAACTCCGCAACCGCCTCTTCCGTCTGAGAGAGAACGAAGAGGAAGCCTAGGCCGGGGAGTGCAGCTGGGGCCCGGGATGACCACCAGCCAGCATAGGAAAATAACTATTCGCTAAAGGCAACTTTCCATCTTCCATCTAACGACATTTCAAACCATTATACTTAATTATAAGCAATGGTGTGCAACTTCAAGATTGCCCATTCGAAATTCATACTTGGCATTTTATTTTGTGTTGATACCGTGATGAAATGATATGACATGTTGTGAAAATGAGTAGTAAATGATGAAATGATGGAGGTGGATGGTATGAACTTAGGTGTGTTTGTGTCTAGCTATGCATATATATATATAATTTCCTTAATAACATACGTATATGAAAACATTGGAACTATAACCAAATGTCTCATTCCTTTCACCATGATGATCCGCAGAGACCCACAGAGCGAACCCCTTTAACACAAATGGCTAATGACTTCTTTCTCACAACCCTTGAACACAGATGTTTGCATAAAATTCCATTCCATCCATAAGAATATATGCCCTCACTTGAAAAACTACCCAGACCTAAGAAAAATTAGGTCTGGGTAATACTGCTTACACTCCATTGGCTAACTGAGACATTCTGCCAGAGTGGCTGGAGCAGCCACTCTGCCGCAGCCACTCAGCCACTCAGCCATCAGCCACTCAGACGCTCTGGTAAGAGTGGCTGGTCCAGCCGCTCTGCCAGAGTGGCTGAGTGGCTGGTCCAGCCACTCTGGCAGAGTGGCTGAGTGGCTGAGTGGCTGCTTCGATTTCGCGAGCCGTGTTGCACATCCACTCGTTTTTTAATAAGGGTTTAATAAGGCATCTAATTATTTGGAAAACCTTGCATTTTAAATCGTTAACGCAAACATGGCTTTCTAAAGTAAATGGACCAGCTTTACTCAAAGAAAGGTGGCGAAGGTTTTTGATTTTTTCAACCCCAAAAGTTGTTGGCCACAATAGGGTGCCATCCAAACATTGATATTATTGAGTAACTGAGCCACTCATGAGGTACCCCCTTGAAAAATTGTTTGGATGTTTTTTAATGAGGGTTTAATAAGGCATCTAATTATTTGGAAACCTTGCATTTGAAAGCTTTAATATAAAAAAATACAAAAAAATAAAAATGAAAAAAAATGAAAAACATTCTTAATTATATAATTCAAAAATAAATTCAAACAATAGGAAAAATAATCAAAAAACAAAAAAATGTGAATCAAAAAAAATGCCACAAAAAATCTGAAAAAAAACTTGCCACAATAGAGGCCCCCCCCCAAACATCATGGAACTGAATAAGGAAGAGAAAAATTGCAACAATAGGGTACCATCCTACTAATCGGGTGCCAACATTATATCAATTTATATCATATTAGGCCATATTATGCCATATTAAGATATTGTGACAACATGTTTGTCCTTTTCAGTCTTCACACATTCTTCCTGCTCAATGGAAGTGGGCCAGGACCCTGCTGCGCTGTCCTTTTCGACGTTTCAAACGAACAAAGCTTTCCTGATTCGTTGTGCGAAGGGCGGCTGCTACTCCACCTTGGATTTTGCCGATAGAGGCAGAGAGTTGAGAGCTGTTGTTGCATACAGTTGCTAACATTTGGATCATTTGGACATGCTTGACCAAAAGTGGAACAAGATGAAAGCCAGTCTAGTTGTAGAGGGGAGAAAGGACAAACAAAACATAACAAAACAATGTGACCAGTTCTGAAGTCAAGACAAAACTTGCTAGAGAAAGCAACGCCTTTTGTGATCCAATGCATTGAATCCTTAGAAAGCAGGCCTTACATCGGACAAAAACTTTGCCCTGTCGTTGCTCTCTGTGGACCGGGCTTTGATTTTGCACATGTCCAGCTCGAGGAACTAGCCAGCGTATCATCTTACAGCTCCACGTTGCCACTAGTCTCATTCCATTGCTTTGTTAAAATCTTCAAAGTTGCTCTGGTTTTCTCTTGCCCCAAACTCTGAGACATCAGACATCCATTGGCCTTCGCAACGATTCCAGAGGACGTTGCCACTCTGCAGCATCTCAGCGAAGGGCTCCGCAACGACTGCGAGATTCTCTTGCACGCCGCGGCCCTCAGTGAGCAAGACTTTGGAGGACAAGATTGAAGATTGAGTTGAAGTAGAGACGGGGGGGAGTTGAAGATTTGAAATAATATATAGAATCACCAATAGATTTCATACATTTGAATACATTTTACATATGTATGTGTGTGTATATATATATTGATATGTCTATGTATTCATAGTTGCTAAGCTACTTTGGTGTCTGGTTGCTCAGTTGGTTTACTACGGCGCTGTCCGTCAGGAGACAAGGACTTCTGTGACCAGGCCCGACGGCTGCGCAGCGCCTTGGCTATGGTGAGACGCCATCCCAACAGCAGGACCGCTGCAAAGCTGTGCTGTTCAATGAAGGTCATTGAAAGACTTGCTGGTGCTTAGCAGGGAATGGGGGAATGATCAATAATAATCGATATTAGCTATCAATAGTCATCCCACTCCCCCATTCCCTACTAAGCACCAGCAAGAAGATACTTAAAGCGTTTTGCCCAAGATTTGTTGAAGTAACTTGAGTATTTGTTGGAGTCACTTGAGTATTTTTGGGATCATGGTGACATGGCCGACAGTACATCACTGAATGTGGAATTGCTTTGACTTTTGCCCGTGAGTCTTCCTTCAATAGAAACAAAGACTTGAAACCCAATTTGAAGAAATGCTTGAGGCAAAGGGTCTTCCGTGACTTGAATTCCAGCGCTCCTTCGGAGCACTACTGTATCGAACGAACAGTTTCTGTTTGTTCGATTTGTTCTTGGTGTGCAGGAACATTGTTCTTCGAGCAGTCGGCTGGCATCCTTTGTCTTTGTGGTTTCTTGGCCCAAGAGGAGCAAGAACTTCAGTGCCCAGTTTCTGGAAACTGCAATGTAGTGAGTCCGCACAATGAAGTGCTATGCAGTTTTCCGATTGAGGTGCGAGGGCACCCCTGTGTACTGCACCAAGGTATGCATCATCTGAACTGCAAGAGGATCCTTGGCCACTGGCAGGATGAGATAGGCCATGCTGGACTGATGTGGGAGACGAAGAAAATCATGTTCTGAAGTCGTTCCTTTGAACGTGGACAGTGTGAAGAGTTGTACGAGCATCGTAGAAGCTCAGGATCCTGACTTTCAAGAACAGGCAGCTTGGCTGATTGCCAGCAAAGACGGCCAAGGTGCGAACAGGGTGTCAGCCGGTGTCAGCCAGGGAAAAGAGTTAAGTTAGTTATGTAGTATAGTTCAATGTGGTTGTAGAATAGAGCTCCTGATGTTTCGAGTGGCCAGGACTGGATGTGGTCTCTGTTGCACAATGAACAGAACGCAAGGCACTTGGCCACTTGGCCAAGGCACTTGGCCGCAACAACTGAGTAATTTGCTTTGTCGAGAGAATTCCCAACAACCTGGCTTTGCAGGAACAACTTGTTCCACGAGCCATTTCGTTTGGCATCTTTTTCACCTTACTGTAGCATCAGTACTTTCGCGCGGAAGAACTGCTTGAGACGTGCTGAGGCTAAAAAAGTTGATTGCATGTAAGATAGTGTGAGTGGACGGCAGGGTACTTGACCCAAAACAGGGGCTTTCGGTTTGGATGTTTGACCCGCATGAAACTCTGGCCTTGTTGAATCAACAAGCTCAACTTTTTTGAACTTGTTCACTATCAGAGCTGTCAGGTCTGCTTGGCATTTTCCCCGGATCATCTCTCATGGCCTTGAAGTTGGCACCTGAGGATGTAGCAGCCAAGCAATGCCAAGCATCTCAAAGATCCCCTTGAGGCGTGGTTATCCTCTGGAGCTTTTGCTGAATTCAACTGCCCGGCACAGAGTTGCGATGTGCTGCGATCGCAAAGGAAAACATGTGGAAAGTATTGGAGCCGCAGTGCTATCAATCACTGAGGCACTGGGACAGCTTGCCACTGGGCTAGCAAGCCAAGGCCTGCGTGAAAAAGGCAGGTCACAAGCCATGCTGGTTGGAGGGAGCGATTAGTATATACAGATACATGAAGTATAAAGCTGAGTAGGGGCTAGGAATGCCTCATTTCAAGTCTGCCGATTTCGCTATGCACATACTGTCACATACTCATACAACTCCCATGCATTACTACACCTCGCCTTTGCGCCCAGGCGTTTCGGAGTTTCGCTCTATCCGTGGTACTGATTCCGGCAGGGAGCCAAGCGCCATCACCGAATCACTGCAAAGACAACCCTGGAGCATCGTTGACGATCGTTGATCACTTCATGAATGAAACCAAATTGCTCTTGGATACTTTTTTCAGATGTCGCTCCATTACTCCAGTAAATTACACTCCATTTTTCATCCATTTTCTAGTGGAATTTCTTCTTTGTCCGAGGCGCTGCTCTTGCAACCTTCCGGGATCCATCCGGAAATGCCAAGGCTTGTGTCATGGGCATTGGATGTTTCATTGGTGGAAATCAGTTGCAGTATGATCTTGGACACTTTTGGAGCCTTTTGGACACCATGCACTGGCAGCAACTTTCCACTTAGCAGATGCCAGCAAATGTTAGCAGATGCCAGCAGGAAATTTGTCTGGTTGCTGGAACGTCGGAGCCTTGAAACCCATCAAATGATGGTGTCAGAAGTATCGATCACTCTCAGCAAAGATAATTTTGCAGATAGCGAGTCTTTCAGCTCCTGAAAGTAGACCAGTATGGTAAAACCATGTAAAACCCGACTAGATAGGACATATCAGACAGACATGTCATTCCATTTTCCTTCAGATGCAGCAGATCAGGGCAGACCTGACATCGAGTTTGGATCAGCTGGCACCTGTGCAGAAACAACTTGTCCTACTGGCTGCTTGAAGTGTCATGTTTTTTGCGATTTTTTTTGCGACTTTTAAGATATAGAGATTAGATGAGATTAGTACATAGAAATTACACATATATTTTTTTTCGTCCAAAAACCGCAGTGGACTCAGTGGAGATGTCCCAGCCAGGTCACCAGCATGATGCACGATCATGCTGCTGACATAGACATGTGTCTAGTGGGCGAGAAGGTCACGCAAGTTCGGCAGAGCTTCCCATGTCAAACTTACTGTAGTGTCTATGTTGAAGGTGGAAGGATGGCTTGGCATCTGAATTTGAGATCGCCCAAAAGTTGCATTGGAATGTAGCAATTGAAGTCCTGTTTTACAAGCACTTCCATAATTACAATGTGCTGCCACACTTGTAGAAAGGCGATAGTTGTCTGCAAACTTCCATATGGCAGTGATGCAATGCTCTCACAGGGAGTGGGCAAGACGATGATTCTTCAAGCCTTTGCAGAGATGTTGGGCTACCGTCGCATGACGGTCTTCTGCTTCAAGGAACGGATCACGATCCGCAAAGCAAAACCAGGGAGCCCACCAGCAAAGGTGGTCATTCATCAGCAAACAAAGAAGTGGATTAAGTAGATTTTGTCATGGATTTCATCAGCAAAGCCATGCAACAACCCAATTTATGGCACCTTTAATGAGAAACTATTCCAACATGGGGAGAATCCATTGGATTTTAGTGATTTTCAGGATGACAACATTGGACCGACATTGTTTTTGCCCATATTTACCAATATTTTCCTCCACCCTGAGGACCTTATGGCGCGCGACTTGCTCCAGAGTCGTTGCACTGATGCCATGGGACAGACAGAATGGAGAGATTCTGCCATCGTGGAGGCTGGGATGCGGCATCCACCATTGACATAAGAATGCATGACGTGTGTATATATATATACATTATAATACATACATTATAATATATACATTATAATATATACATTATAATATATACATTAAAATATATACATTACAATATGTACATGATAATATATACATTATAATATATATACAGTTTACATTATATATATACACAAAATTATATGCATTATATATGTATTATCTAGATACATACACAGTATATATATATACACATTATATATAAATATATATTATAATATAAATATATATTATATAAAATGTATATACATATAACACATATATACATGTAGTATGTATATATTATATATGTATCTTGTTACACATATAAGGTGTGAATATATAATATATATATATACATATTGTATACACATATACATATTGTATACACATATATCAAGTGTGTATATATAATATGTGTATATATAATATATGTATATATAGTATATGTGTATATACATTATATGTGTATGTATCTATATATATACATACATACAATGTATATATATACATACAATGTATATATATACAATATATATATATATATTGTGTATTTATATGATGTGCACACATATATACATAATGTGTATGTATATATATATATATATGTAATATAATGTGTATATTTATATACTTAATGTGTATATATATATATATAATGTGTATATATATATATATGTATAATGTGTGTATAAAAATAATTTGTATATATATATATATATGTATGTATGAACGGGGATGGAATTCAGACTTGAACACATGTTGAACACGTCTCAGCATGTCTTAAAATATGTAATACATCTTTCTACAATTAGATATCACTTACACATATATATATATATGTATACATACATCATATTTATCAATATAATTAGTTACCAATGTATCAATACACACACATGTATATACATACTACACTGATGCTACCAAGAATGACATCACCCGCTATCCATTGAAACATCCTGGCAGTTTGAGGCAGCTGTGGCTGGGCACCTTGTAGTGCTGGATGGGCTGCAACGCTTAGCGCCCGGCAACCTCTATGCAGCACTCGGTGGGACCAGTTTCGACAGCCAGTTTGATGCTGTGAACTGTTGGAATCCATTAGAATTTCCGCTTAATCTTAGATAATTGGAATCTATTGGAATCTATATCAGTTTTTTTTTAAAAACCAATCTCCAAGTGAGATATTTGATGCTGCTTGTGCAGGTCCACTTCTTTTGGATCGAGAGACTGCTTTGCCTGATGGCAGCCGTTTGGCCAGGACTTCCAGTTTTTTTAAAGTCATTTGCAACATCTGCATTCCTTGGGGCGACCAGCCACGATCCACAAGTTTGCAGATGAAAGCGGAACCACTTTAGTCAACTACGGGACACTCTAGCTGCACATGGGAACCGCAAGTCTTGACCAGGTCTCAGCAAAGCGCTGGCCAAAACTGCTAGCCCTCCGTGGTCTTCCTGACCACAGTACGGCATCCAATGAATTTCACAGAGGCATAGCCCAGTGGTGTTTCCAGGAAGATCTGATCCGTATTTCAAGGGGGGCAGATGGCAACTCTCTTGTTGAGGCCAGGAGTTTCAAGATGAGGGTGTTCGGTTCAGACCTGTGCCCAGTGTGACTTGATGCTTGCAGTTTTGACTTGGCACCCTGCACTGTTCAATTTGCCAAAGCAGTTGAGTCGATTCAATGACTCATTGATACCGATTGATACCAACTTTTTTGCAGTATACCGACCTTTTACATGCATCATGCATCCATACACGATGATTTTCAAACATTTCAAACAGCGTGCATGGTATTATGACCCAGAGGTACATCCAGCCTTTCGTTGCATTGGGACTGCCGAGCTACCAACAGCTCAAGGATGGGGTTTGGCCATGAAAATGTGTGTGAGAGGCTGCCTTGCTCTGATCAGAAGCCATACCGAACCAGACAATTCTTTGTTCATGTGCCTTTGGACTCCCAAGAATTCTTCAATGGGACTAGAGCAAGCTCCACCTCTTTTGTCCTGTTTGCGCCTGCATTATGAGACAAGCTAAACCAAAAGGAGCAGGAGGACGCACAGCAACAGTCCCATGTGACTCTCTTCATTTTTGACTATGCTCACGAGGCTGCCAGGGTTTCTGAAGCAGACATTGAAGCCTGGCCAGGACGCAGCCCGATATGGTTGGATGATGAGGCCGGAACAGAAAGGTCAGATGTCTAAAACAAGACATGAAGTGGCACAGGAATGGAAAGGAACGACACATCCAAAAAAAAGATAATTAAGCTCTCCAGACAAAGCTTCATGTCAGTTGGCTGCAATGCTTGAACCATGTTGACATACTGTGACATACTTTAATAAATCTGCGAAACATCATCCATTTCTGCAGCCTGGCTCAAAATACGTGGAGCCCTGGGGCTCAGCTCAGAGCCTCTGTAAGGAAGCCGATGTGCAAGGACACTGGAGAGCGGGGCTCTCGGTCATGGAATGCACTGCGACCCTTTAAGTCTTACCGCAAAATTGCATAAAATTGCCATACATACAGTGTCAAAAATATCTGATCAAGAGCAAACTGATGTGTGCATCTGAAATCAACAAACTTTGAATAGGAGGCAACTCTCGATTGGAATTCATTTAGCAATACATCCTTGTTTGACACTTAGGCCTGGAGATGTTCATGCCAAGTATACAGCCCTGGGCGATGCCTTCGTCGTTTCTGTTCGATTTGGCCCCCCGGATCCGCTTGGTAGCAACAGTTCAAACTGACGAGACGGTGTGGACTTGAAAGATGCATTGTATACATCCATTGCCATCTATGATCATCCATCATCATCCATCATTTTAATTCCATTTTAATGATGTTTCATCCACGTCCTTCCTCCATCCATTGCACACTTCATTTTGTACTCTCCCATTCATTTTCGTTCAAGTACCAGTACAAGTGTGTCACACTTGAGATTCTCAAACAGGGCCACTAGACCGGGCAGCATGGGGTGAAGCCCTATTTCGAGGTAGTGAACATCCAGCAAGGAAGCGCACTCCAGCCACGCGCTTTCACTTCGCGCCTTGGCAACAGAGAACCATAGCAGCTTTGCTTGCGCAGTGAATTTGAAGACCTAGGGATGTACGTACAACAAAGTGCAGATCGGACTGTGAATCTGTTCTACAATGTCTGATATGATCTCTTTTGGGAGTTCAATGAGTTGTTCTGTTCCTTGCATCAGTGGGAAGACTCTGGGCTTGGAACTGGAGAGAACCAGATGAGGAAAACAAGCAGAGGCTGGCAAGTTGCAGTTTAAGAGAAACAGACAGAACTGATTAAGAAGCTGCCCACCCAAAAAATATCCAAAAACCAGCATATCATTGACCTTTCTGAGGTGTTGGACAACAGCGGAAGTATGGGTCGAAACTCCCAAGCTGCAAAGGACCTGGGGGAGCTGTGTTTGTTTTTCCTTTTCACAGCCCTCAAAACTTCTGACAGCCAAAGCCTCTTAGGTAAATCAGAACCCCATAGAATCCCCCAAAAAAGAAACCGAACTTTTCGATACATCTCAAACATTAGTGGCATCTCGAATCATGAAGTAGAAGTGCCGGGCTGGAGGTCCAGCAGGAGCTTGCTACTTCAGCAGGTTAAGTGATGGTGTCCCTTTGCGTGCCAGAAGAACTAAATGGAATGTATAACTTATACTTATAACTACATACATACATACATACATACATACATACATACATACATACATACATACATACATACATACATACATACATACATACATACATACATACATACTACATACATACATACATACATACATACATACATACATACATACATACATACATACATACATACATACATACATACATACATACATACATACATACATACATACATACATGCATGCATCATGCATCCATGCATCCATGCATCCATGCATCCATGCATCCATGCATCCATGCATCCATGCATGCATGCATGCATGCATGCATGCATGCATGCATACATGCATACATGCATGCATCCATGCATGCATGCATGCATGCATGCATGCATACATACATACATACATATGTATGCATTGTATATACATATATACACATCTAATATACATATAAGGTACATATATGATATATATATATTGTTCTATGTAGCGGCAAATGCAATGTACAGCAATATACATGTGAATGTGAATCTAATGTGATGTAATGCAATGCAATACGTATTTGTCAACCTGATGCGGGATATGAATTTACAACAACATGTTCATGATCAGAAACTTAGGCTCAATCCGGCCTTTGCCATTTGCTGATGGCGTTGACTCCCGCTTTTTGTTCCATTGTCGTAGTATCATTTGCTGGGCTTGGGCTTGCAACCCATTGCTGTACATATGGCGCTGGTCTATTTTCTAAGCTGCAACGCCTCTTGCATGAGATGCAATGTTCAAAGCCTGCAGCGGTTCAAGCAGCAGCTTGGGAGATGCGTTCGCGGAACTACTTGAACTTTTGTCAGTACCTGGTGCATTTCGCAGCAATTTCCATGCTGTGGTACGCATGGGACACTGTTCGGAATCCCAGCTACTCAAAGTCCTGGCTACTTATGCAGTTCTTAGCTGCATGGACACAGCACCATGCCTGCTTGGAAGGGTGGATACCCCTTGATTGTCGGAGCTTGAGAACCATCAGTATTGCCCAGTATGGAGCCTTTGCGACTTTCAATTTGGGCTGCTTGGACAATATGCAGGCTGATGCAGCTACTGCACTCAGCTTCAACACCTTTCAGATTGTAATGCGCTGTTTGATGGCCCTGATCTTCTCTGACACACCAGTTGCCATTCCCGGGCAATTCTTCCTTTCCTTGACAGAGACTTGTATTTTTCTGCAGTGTCACGGGTATGACGAGGCCTTTTTTGGTTTCGCAGTGGTTCAAGCCATCACTTTGGGAAGCATTTACATGATCTCAGGCCTATCAGAGTTTTGGATCAATTCCCAAACGGAGGCATTGCTTGAATCCAAGGCGACAGTCCACAGTTTTCGCAAGATGCTCCGTGGTCTCTGTGATGGTGAAGTTGTTCTGGACAGTGAACTGCGCGTTTGTGACGGGCTCGATTGCTTGCAGCGTCTCCTCATGGTGTCCAGCTTCGACAACGATAACTTCGCGGAGCTGCTGGTCCCAGAGCAACTGGAGAGTTTCCGATCTTTCTTGTCAGCAGAGGAAAACCAAGATGCTAGCATGCCAGCTTGTTTGAGGGTGTCCCTCCGTGACAAACCCAGAAGTGATTGGATCAGTGTGGACTTGTTTCACGTAAAGATGCCCCACATTGGAGACGAAGGGCAGCATTTGATTGCGTTGAGGGAAGACGGAGATGCCAGAAAGGAGCGAGAGATGCGAGAGGGTTCTGCAAGAAGTGGGGAAAGAGACAGCCCCGTGAGCTCAGGAAACGTTGAGCCGGGAATGCAGGCATTTTATGGTGCTCAGTACCCTCAGTACAGCCCTTCTATCGCTATGACCTTGGCCCCTTCGACCTTGCCTCTTTGCACTGAACTTTCGGACATGACCTTGTTGGTGGATGCCAGCACTCCGCAACTGGAGATCGATCAGGCACATCTGAGCTTTGTGCGACACCCTGGTGAGGAGTCCACAATCCCATGTCTCAGAAGCATGGTGCGTCCCACTGACTGGGAACGAGTGCGTGGAAGGCTACAACACATTGCAAGTGGAGGTTCCGGTGTTTGGAGCATGTCCATGCATTTGCAAGATGGTGCGGCCAAGAGATACATCCGAGCAGAGGAGGTTCATGTGTCCAGCTTCTCACCACCGGGAGGAAAAGGCGAGGCAAATTTTAAGCTACGGATGAATTTTACGGGGTTGAGGGATGAAACTCCTGGAAGACCGCCGTCATTAGGATCCCTTGAGAGAATCAAGGAGTGTGGAGAAGACCCTGACAGTGGGACAGATTGAACGGGTTTGGCAAAGACTCAGACTCGTGCTGTGATTGCAGAATGCACAGGCAATTTAAATCAATTTTCCAGTTTCCTGCTGAGCAGGTGGGAACTGCCGTCCTTTGCAGCATCACACAATGAGCTTCGGTGGCTAGTTTGGGTGGGATTGATCAGACAACTCATTTCTGTGCAAGAAGCACCGCGGGAGCACCTATATAGAAGTTAGAAGTCCTGTAGTCATTGTATGTCATTGTCCTTCAACAATCCAATCCACCTGCCTGCAACAATCAGTGCGTCTCCATGATGTAATCGAACCTCATCAGGAGTGCTTTGCAGATCTAGCAGCGGTTGCAACGCTTCTTGGTGACTGTCAAGAGAGTGCCAGCATCTGCGATGATTGCTTTTCCTGATCACATACTCTGCTTAGAGATGCATCAAGAGAGTCCTATAGCTTGATTGCCTGCGTTTTGTAGTTCAAACGGAAAGCATGGCGTGACATCATGAATTCATCGGTTGAAAAGTGCATCTCGGAAGCTATTTACTTGGCAGATCAGGTTGGGAGTTTCTTTGGTTTCCTTTGAAACCACTGCACAGCTGTTGGGGGAAGCCTTCAAAACTCCTCAAGAGATGCGGGATGTGCGACTCCCGCGCCAGGGAGGCGCGAAAGGGACAGCCGTTTGTAGCTGCATGCTGCAACTGAATAGCTCCCTGGTCTCCCTTTGTGCATTGCCAATACCAATGCTTCATTCAGCGAGCATTTTGAGTTTGGGAAAGGAATTTGAATAATTTGATTTGATTTCGGTTGTCAAATCGATTTTGCTTGGAGAAAACTTTTGCCCGCTCAATGTGGGTCTCTGCCGTGTTTGCAAAACAATTGGAAGCCCTCTCGGTGTGGTTCAGGTACCAACATTACGGCTGGCATTCAGGCCTCTATAGACCTCATTCGAAAGATTGCCAAGCAGGACGCTTTGCATGTCAAGCATAGACTAGTTGGGATAGCATGAACCAGCTAAGACGTTACCCTGGAAATGGAAGGAAGATTCTCATCATCTTCTGGTCTTGCTGAGCCAGAAGCTTAGCACTAGTGGCTTCACTAGGCGTCTACACAATGTCGTTGAAGCAGACATTCAATTGCACTATTCCGATATGACAAACACGCATACAGAATTATTCAGACATAAAAATCAAATATATCAAATGAACGCAGGAGTGAGTGTCCTGCCACATTGATCATTTTTAGCCTAAGATTTACATCTTGCTTTGTCAACTGATCCGAGGTGATGGAATGCATGGCTCTGGCCCTCCACCTTCTGCTGTTTTGCCGCAGATGGGAGCGAGTCTGAAGAAGGACTTTCCTAAGCTTCGCCTCTCTGTGGTTGTGGTTGGAGTGACCCGAAGTTGCCTGGGCCGCACCGTGCTGAGCCAATAGTGTTGTCAGCTCCTCTGAATCCTCCAGTGGCTGATCATCACTAAAAAATATGTATGTAAAACATCATTAAAAGAACATATACATACACATCATACACAACGGTTGAGACTTCTTCCGACTTTTGCGACCTATGCATCAATATGATAGTATCTGATAGTAATTGAAATTTCAATGGCGACTCTGTTGGTTTTTTCCATTCTTCGCCGAGACTCTGACACCTCCATGGGTATGTTGCTCAAAGAGACCTTAGAGACCGTTCCACTGGATTTGCAACCCATCTATTTCGCCGACTCGTTGCTCGGCGAGAGCCGCATTGGATGCTGGATTGGATGTTGGATGGTTTAACCAACTCCTGCTGGTTGCAATTCAATTTCACTCAGTTTTCATCAATTCAGACCAATTTCCATGAATTTACATCAAGTTGGTTTTAGATGTTTCTTTTGATTGGATGAGTTTAGTGTACTTTTCTGGCTTCACAAGTTAGCTGACAGCTGGCATCCCTGACCTGATGGTCACCTGAGGCCACAGCAGATGACTGAGACACTGCAGCACATGAACTTGGGCCTGGCATCCCTCCAAGGATCTTTGGTCTCTGCAGCATGGCTTACTGTACGCTGAACTATGGCATTGGGCCACCAGAATTTGCGTGGAGATTTCATGATATTTCATGATAGTTTTGGTTTTGATGGATACTTTTGATGGACATTTGCTTCTGATAATGGTGGCCTGGAAGTCCAGCATCAGGTAAGCCTCGACCATGGCCGCTTCATCCGATTGGTGGGAGAGGCTAGCGGATGTCTGCTGCAGTGCCACTTCCCAGCCCTTGAGTTGCTATGGGATGATAGATGGTCCAAATCCTCACAATGAGACACATCGCATGATTTCCACTTTCATTTGAGTCGGAATTTGAGTCATTTACAATCATTGACAGCAGACGTGATGATGATGATGATGATGTGCGAAATTGACCGCCGCAGTGGAGGATGGAGACGCCACTGCAGAGGTGCTGGCAAACAATCACGAGCAGGCCGGATGGCACAGTTTCAGCGACGACGGAAGACGTGCTTGTACATTTGTAGAAATCGATGCAGAGGACCGGATCGTGATCTCGATACTTAAGGGATGAACATCGTTTTATTGGGGTGACCTTGGTTGGGTATGTGAATGGCTTAAGTTTAACGTTTCTTCGTAAATATAGATAACACCCAGAATATATGTGTGTGCAGATTTGAGAGTAGCCATGTGTGTGGCCAATGTGCGAAATATAGCCAGAAAACGCCCTTGGCTTTCCCTACCCCTTGGCAGGTTCTTCTTTGCCAGGGAGAAGCACCCAAGACCCTAAAAGTGGATGGCGTTGCCTATGACTGTCAGGTGGGCGATTTGTTGGTTGCTTTGCATGCTTCAGATGTAGTGTGAATGGTGCCGAGATTCAGTAGTAAAGAACTTCTAACATTTGTCAAAATGCACAAGTATATAGCATAGCCAGAAACTGAAACTCCAAGGCCTCAGTTTCTGAGATGGTTTATCAGTTTCTCACATATGGTGTATCAGTTTCCAACAGAGCCTGCCTTGCCCAGTGAGGCCTTGCCCAGCTTGGATGGTGATCTTGTGATCAAAGCTTTAGAGAAGCAGTTCGATGCTGCGCGCGTTCGACGTGTTGCTGCTGGCACAGAGAGCACTCGTCGCTGGGCTGGGCTTGGCTACGCTTGGCTACGCTTGGCTGATTTGAAAAGATCAGTGAATCCAGTGAAACATCCAACTTTGTCCCCTACTGTGGATTACTGTGGAAGGTTTGTTTGATGGTTTTGACAAATCCTTTCAAATCCGCCCAAATCCATCCAATGGAGCACAAAGAAAAAAAGGTCGCTTCACTGTGGCACCCAAGGTCCGGCTGTGAAGCAGTTGGGAGAGTGGATTGCCATCCTTGAAGCTGCCAGCGAGAAAACTGGAACAAAGTTGGAGCTTGCCAAGGCCCGGGGGATGGAGACAGATCAATCGAAATTCCTTTCTGTGATGGGGGTGTCATGCTACGATTTACACGGATTTGGCATGATTTGGGTCAGAACTGAACATGTGAAATTGGACAGGCAAACATCCCAAGACAATCTAATTCTTAATTAATAGTTGTTGATATTCA